AACCCCCCTGAAGTCAATGAAAAGACTATCAGTGACTTTCAATGTGAGATAGGCCAGGAATTGAACCCCCGGCTTTCTGCAACTCCACCCTTTGACAGTGCCTTAATCCCAGGCCATTGTTTCTTTCATAAAGCAGTGGATCTTGTTGGTTGTGGATGGAGGAGGAGGACTGGTGGCGCTGCAGCGTATTGGACTCTGTTCTTCGGCCCACACAAGGCCCTCTGTGCGTGCTGCTCCTCTTCTGGAGGTGGGATATGGTGGTAGCAGGGCACAGACATACTCCATGAAGTGTCCTCATTTTAGGGTCTACAATGCAGCTAGAAGATGGGGCTCTGCTAGCTTCTGGATGTCCTGAGATCAACAGGAAGTCCTGCACAGGTCATGGCATTTGCAGAGGACTTGAGTGAGAAGAAGAGGATTGGGTAAAGAAGGATAGCCCAGTGGTTCGGATGCTAGCTGAAGAGCTGGGTTCAATTCCCTACTCTCCCATAGGCTTCCTGTGTCACCTTGGACAAATCAGTTAGGCCTAGATTCACAAAAGTATTTAGGCTCCTAACCTCCATTTAAATTAATGAACCTCCATCCTCTATCTGTGGAATGGGGATAATAAGTTTCCGTACCTCACAGAGGTGCTATGAAGATAAACACATTAAAGCTTGTGAAGTACTCAGACATTAAGTTATTGGGAGCCATATAAGTACTGTGTGCCCTTATTTGACCTGAGTGCCTCATCATAGTTCGGGGCCCTGGGGGACGTTCCAGTTAAGAGTAGAAATCGATGATGGAGGCTGATATTTTCTTTGGTGCAGGCTTGTTTATTTACAAGGTATGTACAAAGTTCTGCTTCTCCGAATGTAGGAGGAACGAAGAACAAAAGGAGCAGTTCTTAGCTTGCAGATCTAATCCTTTTTTTAGACAACACTATACCCAAAAGCTCTCTCTGTAGCCATTACCCAGAGTCATACACTGCACTCACAGGCTACTGCTCGGCTTGCTTGCTTTTTGCCACCACCTCTCTCTCTGTTCTGTGCGTTCTCAGTTTCCTTCACACCAGAGGTGAAAGTAAGCCGGTACGCCCTGGTACGGTGTACCGGCAAGAGCTGGTGCACCATACCGAGCTGGATAGGCTTCCCCTGGCAGCAATTTAAAGGGCCTGGGGAAGCGGCGGTGGGGCTCGGGTGGCGGCGGGGCTTGGGCAGTGATTTAAAGGGCCCGTGGCTCCTGCTGCAGCTACCACCCCGGGCCCTTTAAATCGTCCCTGGAGCCATGGGTGAGAGATCACCCTGCAGCCTTCCCCCTCCCCTGGGACAGGGACTTGGCAGTGAGACTGAACCTGACCCTGACACAGCACAAGGGCCAGGCCTGCCACAGAAACACCCTGGGGCCCTGCCCCTTTTGTGCCAGGCACACCAGATGTGGGCAGGGAGGCTCAGCCCGGCAGCAGGATCCAAGTGCAGAGGGACTTAGTGTGGGGGTATCCAGATGGGGGTAAGAGGTTCTGTGGGGGGAAGTCTGGGTGCAGGCAGCTCAGTGGGGGATCTGGATGCATAGGGAGGTGCCAGGTGCAGGGGCAATGGGAGTCTGCAGGGGGACCAAGTGAAAGTGGGTGGAGCTCACCGGGGGCAGGGGCAGGGAGTCTGGGTGCAGGAGAGGTGGGATTGTTGTACTTAAAGTACTGCACAGGATCTTTTCAGGGGGAATAAGGCAAACACCACATTCATTGGTAATACATGCATCAATTAACACTGTATCATATGATCTATATTACACTCATGCACTCACATACATACACACAAACACACTCTGTCTTGTTGTTACCAATTAGTTGCTCCCCTTAACTTCACTGGCCAGGTGAGTTAGATAGAGGAGGGGTGGAGCCAGGCTTCTGCTGATCTGGATCAATGCTCCGATGTTGACAAGACCCAGGGTCCTCTGCAAGACACCTCACATTTATAGCAGCTTCCCTCTCTTGCAAATCTATACCAGATTCAAAATCTGTGTGCTGCTTCCATCTGGGTGTTGTTCCAATACTGTTCAAAGAGGGTGTTTCCAAAAGAAGGTGCTTGATTCTAACCCCCCCAGGCCTCAATATGTCTGCTCTTCTTTAGTGAGCCCACTTGACAAGTTTGATTGTCCTTGGGTCTGGCTTCCATCCCCTCTCCAACTAGCTGTCTGGAGGTGCTTGCCTTCCACGCCTTGGTCATTCACACCTCATTCATTCAACATGCCAATTGATTAAGGGAGTGTGGGGAGGGGGAATCTTATTCAACTCCTAGCAAAAAGACATTTTTCTTCTACTTTAACTATCCTTAGGGGCTATAACATTATACCAAGGCTTAAAACAAAGTTTTCTAAGTTTTTCTACATAGGGAACTGATACAAAGTTCCTATATCAAAGGACTTGATACAAAGTTGTATGAAAATAGCTCAATACAGGGTTATATAAAGAGGCATAATACAAAGTCATATGAAAGTTAGAGGTCATATACGGATAGGCTTAATACAAGGTTATATAGAGAGGCATAATACAAAGTCATATGAAAGTTATGTGAAGATGCTTAATACAGAGATTTATCTACAGGGTTCATTTGGGTGGGGGGCTAGGTGTAGGTGGTTGGGGCTCAGTGGGGAGGGTGTCTGGGGGGGGGCTCATTGGGGTGGTACAGATGCAGGGGAGGTGGGGCTTGTCAGGGTGAGGGTTTGATGGGCCTGCTTAACAGGGGATCCCCAGCTGCTGCCAAGGGGATCTGCATGCTGGGCCCCCGTTTCCCCTATCCCAGGGATCGGTAACCTTCGGCACGTGGCCCACCAGGGTAAGCCCCCTGGCGGGCTGGCCCAGTTTGTTTACTTGCCGCATCCACAGGTTTGGCCGATTGCGGCTCCCCCTGGTCGTGGTTTTCTGCTCCAGGCAAATGGGGGCTGCGAGAAGCCGCGGCCAGCACATCCCTCGTCCTGCAGCCCCCCATTTGCCTGGAGCCGCGATCGGCTGAATCTGCGGATGTGGCAGGTAAACAAACTGGCCCGGCCCACCAGGGGGCTTACCCTGGCAGGCTGCGGGCCAAAGGTTGCCGATCCCTGCCCTATCCCCTTCTCTTCCCCATCCCATGCCCCTTCCTTCCCCACTGCCTTTGTCCCCCTGCCCTGCCTGCCCCACCATGGCACTCACTGTTGTACAAGATGAAGGATGGCTCCCAGCACACAGAAGGGAGCTCAACCAGCAGAAGGTGGTGTCCAGCTGCAATGTCTGGGGAGCTGAGCAGCACCTTCTTTTTTCAGCCTGGCTGTGCAGCTCTGCAGTAAGAGTAGGTATGCCCGTTCCATCCCCCTCCCCAACACCCCACCCCACCTCTTCTCTGTCTCCTCTCCCCAGATGAGCATGCTGTGGCTGTGCTCCTCCCCCACCCTCCTGCCGGCAAACAGCTGATCGGCGGCAGGGATGGGGAGGGCAGGAAGGGAGCAAGCTGTGAGAAGAAGCAGGGGAGGGGGACCTTGGCTGCCCTACTGCAGCAGGAGCCTCAGTGCCAGGAGCACCAAGCTTCTGCCCCCGCAGGAGAGAGCAGGGGGCGGAGAAGAGTGGGCCTGGTCGGGGCCCCCCTGGAGTGTGGGCCCGGCTCCATGGAGCCAGTGGCTCCCTGGTAAATCCGCTACTGGGTGGGGAGGCTGCAGGGTGATCTCCCACCTTCGTGCAGCCAGTAGCCTGTGCTCCCCACTGCCATGCTGGAGCCTCTGCATTTATATATTGACAAATAAAACTTGCAGAATTTTAAAATATTGTGCACAGAATTTTAAATTTTTTTGGTGCAGAATGCCCTCAGGAATAAGCTTCCTCACAGCTTGAGTTCCAGCTTTGTCTGTGTTGCTTAGGCGGAACTACAGCTGTACAGCACACGGAGACATCTAGTGGCTGAATGCAATTCTGAATCTTTCAGACATTGATTAGGTTAAGGCAGGGGTGGGCAATAATTTTCAGGGGGGCCACACCACCAATTTTGGTAAGTCATCACAGGCTGCACATTTCTACTATATTAATGGAGAGGGTGCAGGGTCTGGGAGGGAGTTTGGGTGCAGGAGGGAGCTCCAGGCTGGGGCAAGGGGTTGGGGTGCAGAAGGGGGTAAAGGGTGTGGGCTCTGGGAGGGAGTTTGAGTGTAGGAGTGGGTTCTAACCTGGGGCACGGATGCGGGAGGGGGTGCAAGGTGCAGGCTCTGGCCAGGAGGCGCTTACCACAGGCAGCTTCCGGCTGGCAGAGCAGCAGGGCTCAGGCAGGCTGCCTGCTTGCTGTGGCCCCACGCTGCTCCCAGAAGTGGCCTGCTGCTGCTTGCATGTCTCTGCACATCCCTTGGGGGGAGGTGAGGTAGTGGGTCTCCATGCGCTGGCCGCGTCCACAAGCACAGCCTCTGCAGCTCCCATTGGCCGGTTTCTGCCCCGCTACTTGTGGGACTTTTAATGGCCCAGAGATCGTGAGAGGGCAGCCAAAGAGCCTGGTGGGCTGGACAGAAATGTTAGATGAGGTGGATCCAGCACGCGGGCCGTATTTTGCCCACCCCAGGCTAAGGTATGAATAAGGCTTTGCCAGCCCTGTCTATACTGAGCCACACTTTGCATAAACTATAGAACTGCAAATAAACTCATTCCACTCTTGAAGTAAATAACAATAGTGAGGTTAACAGGGGCTAGAAAAGGAGGGTGCCAACTAGAACATGGGATTGTACTCGATACATAAAGACAGCATGGACAGGAGCTGGACTGGACCACGCTGAAAGTGCGAAAGGGGGCCAGCTGGCCACACTGGTGAAGCAGGTATCCAGGCTGACTTTGGAGAGCGGTGAGTTCTCCTGGAACTTGCTCCCCGAGCCTTGCCCTATACAGCAGAGCTAGCACCGCATTTCCAGTGCTTTTGCTTTAGAAAAGGAACGTTTGTTTTAAAGAGCATGTCCGGGAGAGGCGAGCTACACCCCCCTCTAATGACAGCTCCTTGCAGCACAGTCCCCGCGAGCTGCTCCCGCGGCTGGGGCACAGCACAACAGCCACCCCCCGCCCGGAACTGCTGGCGGGGCCGCTAAGAACTCAGCGCTCAGCCCGCGCACCGGCCACGGGGCTCCCGGCAGCCGGGCCACGCTCGCCCCAGCCGCAGCCCCGGCCGCGGATTGGCGCCAGGCTTGTTCCTTCCGGGGCCGCTCGGCCGCCGCTTCCTGCTCCTCCCCTTGCGCGGCGGGACTAGGCCCGGCAGCCGCGGCCTGGTTGGCGGCCCCTTCAAACCCAGCTCCGGCTCCAGCCGCCGCCAGCAGCCAGGGGGACCGGTGCGTGAGCTCCCCGCGCCGTGCCCGGGCCGGGAGGGGGCAGCGGGGCGTGCGCGGGGCAGAGGGGAGCGGGCTGGCGCTGCCGCCCGGCGGCGGAGAAGGGTCCGATGCAGGGGGTTGGTTGGAGGGGGCTGCTGGCCTCTTACCCCCGTGACTGCAGAGGGGAAGAAACTCTCCGATGGAAACAGCCCTTCCCCCGAGTGGGGGCTCCGCGCTGCTGGGGACCCCATGCTGCGCTGACTCCGGGTTCCGGGGCGCAGAGCACTGGCAGCCCGCAGCGGCTCGGAGGGGAGCGGGGAGCCCCCCTCTGTGACACTGCGGGAGGGTAGGGGATACCTCGGAGTGGGGAGTGGTTAACGGGAGTGTGGATTAAAACGGCTTGGGCCCCCCTCACCCGACAGCGAAAAATCTGTTCTCGCCCCTGGGCCAGCCGGAAAACCTTTCTGATGATGGGGCAACGGTTGCTGTTTACCCGCAATCACACACTTAACAATAATGAAAAATGAATTTTGTTATTGGCATGACAAGCTGTGCAGTGGTTACCAACATGCAAAAAGACACACCGCTCGTTTATCACTAAGTGAAATGCAAGCCACTAAATTAAACTAATTGAAAGGGGACTCTAGTGCATAAACCTAGGGTGTATACCTGACTCTGCTACTTGAGGAAGTCATTTGCCTCTCTCTGCCTCAGTTTCCCCATCTGTTAAATGGGAATGATAATATTGACCTCCCTTGTAAAGTGCTTTGAGATCTATGGACAAAAAGTGCTATATACAAACTAGGCGGTGGTAAATATTTGTCCAGCTTTGGACTTCATTGTGTTTGAGGTATTATCCTCTGTCCACTTTTCAATTGTTATTATCCTTCTCATTCAGTGACAGGTTCCTACATAGTATGGGGCTATATCTCCCTGTCACATGGAGGAGTGGGGTCATGGGGGGTGGTTTAGGAGAGTACTTATTACAAAGTTCACTGCCCTGATGCACAGCTAAGAATCTGTTCTCACTCCTGGCCTAGCCAGGAGTAATTTCTGATGATGCAAAAACAACGAGGAGTCCTTGTGGCACCTTAGAGACTAGCAAATTTATTTGGGCATAAGCTTTCATGGGCTAGAACCCACTTCATCAGATGTATGGAGTGGAAAATACAGGAGCAGGTATAAATACACGAAAGGATGGGAGTTGAGGTCCCTAGTGTGAGGTCAGTCTAATGAGACTATTCAATTAACAGCAGGATAACAAGGGAGGAAAAATAACTTTTGAAGTGGTAATGAGTGTAGCCCATTTCAGACAGTTGACAAGAAGATGTGAGTAACAGTAGGGGGAAATTAGGTTTAGGTTTTGTAATGACCCAACCACTTCCAGTCTTTATTCAGGCCTAATCTGATGGTGTCCAGTTTGCAAATGAATTCCGGTTCTACAGTTTCACATTGGAATCTGTGTGGCAACAATTGCTGTTTAACCCCAGCCACGCATATAGCAACAGTAATGCAAAGTGAATTTTATTATTGGCATGACAAGTTGTGCATGCTCTTTGCTCACAGCTACTGGGAGCAAATTCGGGGGCGGGGAGGAAGGGAGCATATTCTGTGTCACACTGGCATTCTGCCCTTCCAGCGGTGCTTCCTTCCCAGCTCCTGGGAACCTCTGTCTCTCCCTATCCAGCAAGTTTTGGGTGCTCTTTAGCTGTTCACCCCACCCTATGGGCTGGTCTACACTGGGGGGGCGGGGGTTGATGTAAGATACGTCGACTTCAGCTACGCTATTCCTGTAGCTGAAGTTGCGTATCTTATTTTGACTTACCTCCCGTCCTCACGGCGCGGGATCGACGGCCGCGGCTCCCCCGTCGACTCCGCTACCGCCGCTCGCCCTGGTGGAATTCCGGAATCGATGGGAGCGCGTTCGGGGATCGATATATCGTGTCTAGACGAGACGTGATCTATTGATCCCCGATAGATTGATTATTACCCGCCGATTCGGCGGGTAGTCTGGACGTACCCTATATATCTGTCCTGTTCTCGCCAGCTGTGTAACCCTCATCTCTCTCTCTCCCTCCAGCTGGTACTGGGGCCCTCCAGATTTGTACTTCTCACCTTTGGCTTGTTTTCTCCAGTGGCGTTTGCGTACCCTGGCTATCTATTCCTCCAGCTTATGTGTGCAAAGTTGCTGGCAGTTTTGCTGGACCTGGCCCTAGGAGGACTCTGGTAAGTTTACTTCCCCCCCCACACCCCGTGAAGTCTAATTTTTAATGGTCCAAGAATGGAATGGCCAGGAAAACCTGACAGCACAGATAGTAGAACAAAGTTTTCTAGCAGCAGTAGTGTGAGTCGTGTCTTCTGCTTGTTGTTGGCTGTATGGTCCTCACACCTCTGAGTTTCTCTTCCCACAGCTTCTTCCCACGCTGACGCTGGAATGCAATGGAGTTGCCTTAAAATGATGAAAGTAAATGGCAGCAATTATACATATGGTGTAGAACAAGACTATTTTGTTGGTATTAACAATGTGGTAAAAAATTACGCCCCCCTCCCCCTTACAGAATCCATGTTTTTTTTTTCTAGGTATTGTAACAACCTGCTACTCAGCTCTTGCTATGTCAGTTAAAGTTTGTTTTGGGGCTGTCTTGGGTAAACTTAAAACTCCTCTCCTCAAAGCCCAGTCACTAAATGTTGCTATCATTAATATTTTGTTGCCTTCCCTGCTGTACAGGCAGGATGACTGGTGAATTCTGTTTGTTGAGGATTAGCAAAGAGCTTCCTGTATAGGCAGACCTGCAAAATAGTGCCCCTTGTAGGGAAAATATCATTTTGGATTAACTGGAAGACAGTTTAAAACATCTCCCTCTTTGCTGGTGAAGGATTTTGGTATGATTGTTTCAATGAGAAAAAATATCATTCACCTTGGTTTTTGAAAATGTCATGGTTTCAAACTGAGACAGTCCAGCAAAGTGTAAGGTGCAAAATCCAATTACTAACAGATTTTCTTTGTTTTTTCCCCTTTAAAATTTCCTGGGAAATTAAATGCCAAAACATATGCAACATCAAGGTTATGAGATCTAGAACTCAAAAGTCAGGACATTTCAAAATATGAGATTGCGGTAGTTAAGTTAACTTGACCGTGTTGCAGAAGTGTAATACTTTCCATAACTCCTAACTCTGGTTAAATGTGAACCTTAGTGTGTTACTGTTTGTTAGAGTATACCATATAAAATATACAGGATGTTAACATTGCAAGGGCAACCTTTGGGTTTGGAATTCTTGACTATATTATACTAAGATAACAAGACTTAGCATTGCATTAATGCTAGCTTTTTGCTTTTAATCATTTCTAAATTCATGTAAGTTTAGCCACTGGAAGTTGATTTTCCACCATACAACAAGCAACTGAATGACACGAGGAGCATTTCCTTTAGGTTCACACGTGACTGACTTGGCTCTAGTCCTGCCATACCTAAAAAAATATTTTCTCAACCCCTTTTGGAGTCACAGAATCGTAGGACTGGAAGGGACCTCGAGGGATCCTCCAGTCCAGTCCCTTGGACTTAAAGCAGGACTAAGTATTATCTAGGCCATCCCTGACAGGTGTTTGTCTAACCTGCTCTTAAAAATCTCCCATGATTGAGATTCCACAACCTCCCTAGGCAATTTATTCGAGTGCTTAACCACCCTGACAGTTAGAAGTTTTTCCTAATGTCTAACCTAAACCGCCCTTGCTGCAATTTAAGTCCATTGCTTCTTGTCCTATCTTCAGAGGTTAAGGAGAATAATTTTTCTCCCTTCTCCTTATAACAACCTTTTATGTAGTTAAAAAACGGTTATTATGTCCCCTCTTAGTCTTCTCCAGATGAAAGAAATCCAATGTTTTCAATCTTTCCTCATAGGTCAGTGCGGAATAGAGCGGAAGAATTACTTATGTTTTGCTTACAACACTCCTGCTAGTACATCCCAAAATTATATTCGCATTTTTTTGCAACAGTGTTACGCTATCTTTGTAACATAATGAGGCCCCAAAGGCCAATCCTGCTTATGGTCCACACGCCTTCTCTCCTCCTCTCCTGCATCCCAGCCCTATCTGTGAGTGCCTGTGTGTGCATGTTTGGGGGAGAAAAGCTGCATTAGGTTTTCAGGCCATAAGCCGAGCTCCAGGTGTGCAATCACCTCTTCTCAGTATGCTTTGCATGAACTGAGTTAAGATATCATTGATCATAAGTAGTTATGAAGGACTAAAAGAATGTGCCACTCTCTGTGTTGTATGCCAAGATTTGAATTCCAGCATTTATCTACATGCATTCCAGCTATATTCATTGTGTTATGTGCAGCTGTATTGAATGGAGGAGGGTTGGGTGGAGTAGCATGGCAGAGTGGTGACTGTGATATGAAGAGACGTGTATGAGTACCTTGAGAGAGCAAGTATGCCTCATGGTAGTACTGAGTATTGTAGGCTATGTTGCGGAGGTGAACACAGGTGTCTTCTTATCATTGGGATTGTCAGCAGTCTGGTGACATATATGTCTGGTCTCCAGTGCTTAGTGAGGGTAAGTGAAGGAAATATCTCAGAAGAAATGCTCTGGGCAAGCATGAAGGGGAGGTAATATTTTGCAAGTCTGGTGTGGTTTGTGTAGATTAGGCTCAGTGTTTGAGTGTAGGCCATGTGTAGGTCACTGCTGTTTGCTATACCTGACCTAAACCCAGTGTAACTCACATCAGCTCAGTGTACTGTGTACCCCTCTGGAGATGGGTTGGCTGCAGAGGTTCATGAACGTTTGCAGACTTGGCTTAAAGAGATGGGTCTTTTAGTTCAGGCAGTAGAGACTCATTGAATAAAATACAGAGGTTCCTTGTTGCAGGGCACTAAGTTTTGCCTTAGTAAAGAGAGGATGTTAAAATTTGTCCTCCGAGTGTTCATGTGCTCTATTCCACAAGTATTCTGTAACGTCTTTGAGGATAGAGTGCTAGTACATTTGTTGTTGGTGTGCTGGGGCATCACTCACAGGGGGCAGGATTGATTTTGCATTGCGGGGATGGCATGTGACTTAATTCTTTCATTTCCCTTGTTTTCAGAGGTTTAAATTTAGCTCATCTGGAAGGTCCACTGAGGAGTCTTAAATCTGCATTAACAAAGTTTTGGCGGATTTAATCCACTTTATTTTAAAAAAGTTTCAAGGCTAAATCATTTTTAACACCTGTGTTCTAGATTAGGTAGAGATTTAGGTCCCGATTCTCATCTCACTTGCAGTATGAATCAAACAAAATTCCATGGAAACTGAATTGTACCCTTATTAAACTAGCATAAGAGGCACATCTGATCCATAGACTAATGCACAGTTGGTGGATGGTTAAACTTTAAAGTGAAATTTAGCAAAATCAAAAAAGTGAAAATAGTTTTGTTCCATCTTTTTTAGTGTTATTAGCTTCTTAAATTATTTGCTTGTGTTTAAAATGTATGGATTATGGCATCTGCATGGCATTTCAGATTAAATGGTGTAAAAATTCAGATTTTTGTTAAAGGTCACCGCCCCCTTTCAGTATGTCTGGGAATAGCAAGAGAGACAAGGTGGGTGAGGTAATATCTTTTATTGGACAAACTTGTGTTGGAGAGAGACAAGCTTTCGAGCCATATAGAGCTAGCTCTTCTTCAGATCTGGGAAAAAAAAGAACGAGGAGTACTTGTGGCACTTCAGAGACTAACAAATTTAGTTGGGTATAAGCTTTCATGGGCTAAAACCCCCTTTAGCCCATAAAAGCTCATTCCCAAATAAATGCGTTAGTATCTAAGGTGCCACAAGTACTCCTCGTTCTTTTTGCTGATACAGATTAACCACTCTGAGGGCTTGGCTACACTGGCGCTTTACAGCGCTGCAACTTTCTCGCTCAGGGGTGTGAAAAAACACCCCCCTGAGTGCAGCAAGTTACAGCGCTGTAAAGCGCCAGTGTAAACAGTGCCCTGTAAACTAATCCCCTTGTGGAGGTGGAGTACCTGCAGCGCTGGGAGCGGTCGCACTTCAAAGCGCTGCTGTGGGAGCGCTCCTGGGGCAGTTCTTTGAAGTTCTGAGTGTAGCCAGGGCCTGAGATCTGGGAAAGGTATTCCAAACATCACAGCTAAATGCAAGGTGGAACACATTGTTTAGCATAAGTACTTAGCACATATTCTAAGGGGCTATTCAAAGTAGAGTGGCCCATTAACACCTCTGGAGTCAAAAGACAAACAGAGGAGGCTAATGGGTTACAGATTGCTGTAATAAGCCATAAATCCAGTATCTCTGTTCAGTCCATGATTTTTCCTGTCTAGCAGAGTTAAGTATCAGAGGGGTAGCCGTGTTAGTCTGGATCTGTAAAAAACAACAGAGAGTGCTGTGGCACCTTTAAGACTAACAGATGTATTGGAGCATAAGCTTTTGTGGGTGAATGCCCACTTCGTCGGATGCATGTAATGGAAATTTCCAGGGGCAGGTATATATGCTGGCAAGAATCAGTCTGGAGATAATGAGGTTAGTTCAATCAGGGAGGGTGAGGTCCTCTGCTAGCAGTTGAAGTGTGAACACCAAGGGAGGAGAAACTGCTTCTGTAGTTGGCTAGCCATTCACAGTCTTTGTTTAATTCTGATCTGATGGTGTCAAATTTGCAAATGAACTGGAGCTCAGCAGTTTCTCTTTGGAGTCTGGTCCTGAAGTTTTTTTTGCTGTAAGATGGCTACCTTTACGTCTGTTATTGTGTGGCCAGGGAGGTTGAAGTGTTCTCCTACAGGTTTTTGTATATTGCCATTCCTGATATCTGACTTGAGTTATGAATTTAAGCTCCCAGGCTCATCTTTTGAAAGTGTTGGGCAGGTTTCCTTTGAGGATGAGAACCGATAGGTCAGATATAGAGTGATTTCTCTGTGAAAAGTGTTCACTATTTTTGGTCTTTTATAATTTTCCTGTCTGAGTTCATTCGAGAGTGTAGTGATTGTCCGGATTCATGCACGTAGTTGTTGTTGGGGCATTTAGTGCACTGGATGAGGTACACCACATGTTGTGATAGGCATGTGTTAGATCTATAGATTTTGAAAGTTGTGTTGTGAGGGGTGTTGATCATTGTAACAGTGGAGATATGTGTGTAGGTTCTGCATCTGTTTTTGCATCTGCTTTTAGTTGGTGTGTCCTGGTTTGTGAGTAGCTTGCTTCTGATGATGAGCTTGGAGAGGTTGGGGGATTGTTTGAAGGCCAGAA